GGGATCGAGAGAGAATGTCTCTATTTTAGAAAACCTGTTTTCTTTCACTCAATACGGCTTATATTGACTTGTATTTTTCATATTTCTCTTTTTCTAGGTTTCCTGTATGCAATTCATCAACATTGTGGTCCATTCAACCGAGGATATCGAATTTCGTGTCTTTCTTCAGCAAGAATTCACAAATCTTCGACTGGATGATTACCTTAAGGTTAGCATCTTGTATGATAATTGTTATCCTTCCTTGTTTAAATTTTTGTTACTTAATAATAGTATGCAGAAGCACTGCTAGAACTCTTAAGAGTCCATTGGAATAAAAGTGTCAAGAAGAGGGCAATTAAAGCTTAGGGTTCAAAGAAATCCGATTGGCTGATTTTTTTACTTAAGGTATTTTCAAGTTTTATTGCCATTTTTTCTGTAGGGTTAAGAGAAACCTATTCTTTATGCCTTTACATACTCTAATCAGTTGTAGTTATATTGGGAAATAAAGCTCCCTTTCAAGTCAATCATCCAATTTGACGTGAGAAAGTTCAAGCACATAGGAATCGGTTCTTGATCCCTGATCGGAGCGCTCAAAATAACTCCAAATCAATATGCATAATTTTCAGCAATGATTGCAAATTAAATTCTAGCTAAGGTTTTCTACAGTATGCTGAGTCCTCTATCTTATCAGTGATTTTTTCATCGTATGTGATATCTTCAATAGCCGGTTGATGAAATCATATTTTAGATTCGGTTAAATCATCTGATTTAATCAATCCTAATAAATTCTTATTTCCCTTTTCTTTATCAATACTGGACTACAGAGAGTTGTTAAGATGTAATTTCTGTATTTGCGTTCCCATTTTCTATGATTATTTACCTGTAGTATAACATCGTTGATATTTCAGATCTTTTTGCCACGTATTCAATTTTTAGACAAGGAGTAATCAATTGGACGAAGCCAATATTCTGATGAAATTAAGCTCCATTTGTTCTTCTCATGTTCTTACCCTCTTCTTCTTTCAAGTATATGAATCTCATCACACTTTCATATGCTTGGAAAGTTGCGTCCAAGAAATTTTATTCCATTTCTATCTACCTAACTGGCATGTCTTCATTCTGTTGTTGTTTTTAAAGAAAAACAATGTTAATATTTTTATTGAGTTCATTCCCTCCTTTCATCGTATGACTATTTCAAGGTTAGTCAGTCATATTCTGTTTCAACATGATATGATCTGACTTTACCGCCCCAACTCTCATGAAAACAAAATAACTGAATTTCAGGTTGAACAATTTCAAACACCCACATATTCCCTCTCTTCATTCAGCTCATTCTTCATTGAAATAAGTCATATTCAATAGGTGCTAAAGTCTTGTGGTTACAGTTTGAGCTGGGCGATGTCTAAGAACGAAGTCGTCCATAGAAGCCTGTTTCATATTGTTGATGTTGAAGATAGGCACGCTATCGTCTCTATGTCAGTAAAGTTGATATGATATGATATGTAATAAAGAAAATATGTATAATCAATTAAAATACAAGTGTATGTACGCAAATAATTTACGAAAGTGAGGGAAGCACGTGTATGCCAGGGTGCTACTGATCTTGTGTGTGTGTAGTAGGCTACTTATTAGGGTTCCTGAGTAGTATCCTCGAATCCCTAGGCAGGGGGGGGGGGAGGAAGTACTAAAGAGAAGAGCATAGCATAATTGAGTGTTTACTGAAACCATTTTGATTGGCTAGTGAGATCATAGCGAATATCCATTTGGCTGTCAAGGCCAACTTAGAGATAACTATTTGGAAATGCCCCTCCCGAGAAAAAAATCACTAACTATGCAATTTCGAGCCTTGTTTGTTGATGCCTATCAAAATTTAAGCCCAACTCTTTTTTGCTACAATCAAGTCGACTTGAAAGCTGCTCTTTGTGCGTTTCAACCGAAAACACTGCAGTTTTTGTTGAACACTTCGCCCTTAATCTATGCCCATTAATTCTTAGAAATTTGTATTTAAAGTTAATATCAAAAAGAGCCATTTTTTTCATTAGTTAATAATCAAATGCCGAAATCTATTATCCGTGTTTTACAATTTTACCTACAGTGCCTAGTGTAAGCTTATTTTCTAATTCTAGAGGATCTCTGGTCGTGTGGGTGAGCGCCTAGAACGGCAAGTGGAAGCTTATTTGGATAATCACGTGGACGTGAAAACTCTCCTAGAGGATTCGCAAGCGAAAGACGCCTTGCAAGCAGAAGTGGAAGCTCTAGATTCTGATCTTCTGACCGTTCAGGGTCAGTTGGCCACTACACAAGCCGAATATGCCTCTCGAACTGCTGCATTTGAAGAAAAGGTCAAGAATCTTCAGGCACAAATATCTGAACAGGAGGTGGGAGCAATTTTTGGAGAAATATTAGCACCTAGGAATCAGACTTTTGTTCCTAGCTATTCTACAGATCTTACTTTTACATTTTACCAATTTTCTCTGGGACAATCAAATAACTAAAAGGCAGGTGGAATCAAGATGGTTTATTAGTAGCTGAGTACCTGAAATGAGAGAAAGAAGGCCATCGAGTCTGGAGAGGTTTGTAAATGCTGATGGTTACTAAGGGGGTGGGGGGGGGGGCGGGGTTTATGTCCTTAAAGCCGAGAAATAATCTAGTTGTGTCAAACGTCTGCAGACGGTCAATCAGTCGGGGCATTAATTACTCAGTCGTTGGTGGGGATCAGGTTACTTGATATTTAATCTACTGGAAAGGTCGGAATATGGGTTAAACCCATCTTGAAATGTATGTGTAGAGTAAAGGAAGAAAGCCTGATTAGATGAACACCAAATAGCAGATAGAGGTTGTAGAGAAGCAGGCCACGGATAAAAATGGTGTAACATGTAAATGTATTATTGCAATATGATATCTCACTGTGTTGGTTGGCTAGAGAGAGATAGACAGTCCATTCAAATTACCTGTCGATTTCTGTGAATAATTATGTTTAGGCAGATTTCTATCAAGAAATTACGTCATTGTCTGAGCTGTCCAACCGACGAGAGCCCAGAGTTAGTTTTTCTTTTCAGGTATTTCGGAGGACAGCTCTCTTAGGATGTAAGTTTGTTTACTTAATGTTTAAAGCTTGGTAGGCTATCGATAGGGGAATGCCCCATCAAGAATTTAAATTGTAATTAATAGCTCAGCGTACTTAAGAGATTTATAGTGAATATTAACTCTAGAGGTAACGTAGTAGCTTAAACGGACGATAATTACACAGTATTTTACTTCCTTATCATACTTCAGGCCCAACTGACAGACAACAAGGAGGAACTAAAAAATCTACGCTCACGTTTAGTCGATCAGAACTCCACTGCTTCGTCCTTGGAGAAGAAGCTACAACAGCAAATCATCGAACTTCAGGAGGCCCTAAAAGCAGAGCGAAATCGTCCCAAAGTAATGTCGCCACCACCACCACCACCGCCTGCTCTTCCAAGTGCCCCAGCTCCTCCAGCTACAACATCTGCACAACCTGCTCCCCCACCACCACCGCCGCCACCGCCGCCACCTCCTGGACCTCCTGGAAGTGGAATTCCAATGCCTCCACCACCACCTCCCATGTTCGGTGGAGGTGCTGCCCCTGGATTTGGATTGGCTCCGGCTGGCGCACAAGGTTAGTGCTCTCTCATTTCTTCGTATTTTTCGATCGAAAGACCACCCAAATGTCGATTTCGGGGTAAGGTAAATGTCTAACTTTCTTCGAGTAGGCAAAAATTGTATCTAGAGAACGTGGGTCAGTGAGAGGGGGGGGGGGGGTTCGGAACGTGAACAAAGAGCAAGGCAAGGCGTCTTAATATTGAATTTCGATAGATCAAATAGGCAAAAAGTTGAGTTACCGCGAGGTTGTGGGAGGAGTAGAAATCCATACTCACTATCCTGTAGCAACAAGTTCATCAAGTGAGGGGTAAAATGCAACAATCGCACCCAATTTGACTAAGCCTTCAAACATTAGAACAAAAAATATTGTCCTAGCAAATTATCTAAATGAAAACATGGTTCTGAAAGTAACCTTTTTTGCAACATATCTTCTGGCAAATTCTTCCTCTTATCCCCTCTTCTTTGTTAGGCATAAGTGCTGTGGTTGGTCATTCACCTCATTGTGGATGTATGTTGATGAGCATCGATTCCGTGCTCAGACGGAGTTGAGGTGTATTAATACCCCGGAGTCTAATGTGAAGTAGATTATTTTTTCTTAACTTGAAGATGCGTGTTTAGGAATGCTGATTTACGTGACACAGTACCAATGGCTTTCCATATAGAATGAAGATGATTTCTGATTTTCAAATCTTAATATAAGTATTACAGTTACCAAGTAGGGATGGAGGTAAAATATGGAGATTTATTTCTTGAATGGTAAGGAAATCTTTGAAATTCGATTTACAATTTATCCCTCTTTGCCATTAATATCTTGGCACCTGGAAATTGAGGATAATTGCTCAGCTTTTCGTGCACAAAGATTTGATTTACCCTTGTGATTTATGCTAGCATATTTCACGTCTCATTTCTCAGTTGTGTGGTGCTGGAAATGTGGAATTTATAACTGCACAATTTTAAGGTATGGTTGTTAACACTTCTTACAATTTCATTTCAGGTGAACCTTGAGTTGGTATTAGGTAATATTAGCAGCTTTTATATATTATGACTTATCGGAGCGGATTGATCTCTGCTTACACAAGGTGAATGCAAGTTATTACCTCAATTGCCTCTTTTACCGCTAATAAGGCGGCAGACCGATATTTTCTGTAATTGTTACAAATCTACAGTTTGCAGATACATTGTCTGTCAACTCTGCAAGGAAAAAATGTATTCACAAGATTTTATCGGATTTGTCATCGTCCAAAGTACACATACACACACACGCGGGCATTTGTCAGCCACGGTACAAAATCTATATTGGCAAGAAGTCATGTCACCATATATCTATTTATTTCAAATGGCAGGCTTTATGGTAGTTAGCCCTTTAGCTGACTTCGGGCTTCACAATGGGGAGTAACATCAAAGTGGGAAAAATGACAGAGGGGAAACAGAAAAGTGACTCAAGGGTGTAAAAGAGGTAGGTAGACACAAAGGCAGAGAAAAGGTAAGGTGAGTAGAGTGAAGTGGGAGTGGTGGAATATGACAAACAGTGGGGTCATGGTAGTTTGAAGTCAATTGCCTGTTTATAGACTTTTTTGCCATATGAGTATACGCTGTCCAGGGTGCACCACATGGAGGTAAGTCTATCGCACACCTCATGTCACCATATATACCATCTAAGCTGTCACTGCAGTGAAATATTCTTTGTTGCACACCTAAGTACCTAGCACAATCGTTTAATTCTCTTCATTACGAAGATAAATGTCAGTGTATAGAGCTAAAAGATAATTCAGTTTATATGAGGGAGTGAAGTTTGCCAGTTTCGCACACTTAAAGAAGTAGTCGATTCAGTATCTCTCCGTGTTGCATTACATTTTATTAAGTGCTATTTCCCTCCTCGATGGTTGAACCATATTTGCTAGCCTTAAGGTCAGTAGCAGTAGTCGTGCCTGCTTTTGCGTCATCACTGCCGACAGGTCAGGAAATATATTTTATCTTTCTTGATGTAGTATGTTTGGTTTGGTGGAGGTGGCCTTATTTCCTTAGTTCATATTCATAGGTTACTGTCTAATCATATTTCTGGCTTGTTAAAATACGAGTTTTTGCGTTCTCTAAGATATTGTTCATTCCAATGATAGTGCATAGTTCATTACATATCTTGGCACTTGAAACATTTTAACTTGCTAGTGCCTTTACGAGGTGGTATTCAACTCGCGGTGTTGCCCAACGTTGTCTGTTGACGTTTTTTATGCACCTGATTTTTGGGATGTTATCTCTATAAATAGAGCTGTAGCGAAGTTGAAGGGCATTCTTTGGAAGTGCATACGCAACCTCTACTGTTGACACATTATTTGGTTATTTATTTTTCGCTTACTTAAATGAAGGCTGTATAAAGGAGATTAATGAAGCAATTATTCATTTACATACCTATGAAATAATTAATGGAAAGTAGCGAAAGCACTTTCTTTTCCTTTGGTCAACCTCAAATAGCTTAGACCCGAAGTCTACCTCTCTTCCTTAGTACATAATTCTACCATTTAACGGTCGCGACAATTATTTCCAACAGGTATCCTTAGGCGGATTTTGTGCCATTTTATGGCCCTCAAAGAAATTGCTTATCCGGCCAATGTGCTTTATAGAGTACTTCTATGGTAATTTTCCCCTTGTACTTTTATAACTTTTATTTAGCTATCAATCGTTTTCTTTTTTCTTCTGTTGGATTATTAGGTCGTCTCCCCTTGCTATATGCTAAAATTTGTAAGTAGGTCACGTTTTCTCGGCTCTATCGTGATATCTCACACGAATAGTAAATCCCCATATATCCCAGTCAGTGGGTTTAATTGTCTTGCAGTATTTAATGCCTGATTTTATGCGTCATCTCATGCTTTTCCGTGGAAATTTTAGTGGAATTTTTATATCTAAAGCACATTTTGTCCTGTGATATATACCATGACTCAATTAAATTTCATTAATTGTATTAAACACGCATTACTTCATTCTTTAATGGTCAAAATTGTAATTAAATGGGCCAATATTGACATATCGAGTTATCTGTTTTTCTTTTCTCTCTTGTCACTATCTTGTTTTTTCCTTGTAGTTAGTGGTTCTGTAAAATTTTCCACAGAGGTGACCAACACCCCAAGCCCATATGTGCTAACTCAACCATGCCAATTTTCATTATTTAATGCGGGTATTTGTATATATTAAGAAAAGCATTGAGTAGCTATGTGGTAATACATTAGGAGCCTCAAAAAGCCGGGTACAGATATGCCTGCATATGAAATTATTATTATTATTACTCCCTGAATATTAACGACACACAAAATCCTTTCCCGAACCTGAATTGAATTGATGAGAGCGGAGAGGCCTATTGGGCCATTATAAGGAGAAGTGGAAAAAGCGGTGCTATATGAATTACACTTTAGAAGACTAGATGGTAAGTGTCAACACCGTTTGCTCTGAAAATGCGCCTCCCATATAAGGAGGCCAAACTAATACCCACTGTTTAGGCCCTTTGATCGTCCGATGAATAACAAAAAATATCACCGTCTGGCAGCTAGGACAGGGCGGAGATATGAACTAGTAGATTGCAGAACACTTCCGAAAATGCTAAATCGAATCCGTGAATGCTTAGAATGAATTTTGAGTCTATTTAAATCCCTCGTTCTTAGATATATTACTAGATTTTTAACCGTATCACCATTTAAATGCGCTTTCTTCTTCTTTTTTCCCAATTTCATTGCCCCTACTTCCTACCTTTTGCATCTGCTTGCCATTCAGCAAAATTCGCCATTACCCCTGATAGCATGTTGAGTTAATCTTTGTAGAAAAGCTTCCCCTTATTTTTGTGCCTAAGTTGTTTGGAGATCAATCGATTGTTTGTCCATTTTCTGATCGTCATAAGATAATCTCACACACACACACACACACACACACACACACACACACACACACACACAC